TTTACCACGTGGTCCAACGTGGCGCGATGCTTTCGCATGTGGGATCTTGACGCGAGAGGTTTTCATAAAAGCACATGGAGATTTTGGATCAAGAAAAATCACATTGTAGCTGTCGGTTGTCCGGCATCTGAGTATTGCAAAAACAAACCGCAAGAGTTAGAACCAATTTATTTACCCAACAAAGAAACGAGACCAAAGGATCCTATTTAAGCTTACCTGCTCGTGTATTAATCAAGATTGGTTACTGAAAGAGCTCTCTTGGATAATGACCAAAACAGAACTCAGTATGTAATGACTGCTTTAATGCCCAGTGCAAGACGAAAATTGAAGCTCGCGTCTATAAATTACAATGCAAGCTGCCACACTATTTTTTTAATTAATTTTATTGACATTCAGCAACAAAAGGATACAACGGTAAATAATACTTCAGCTTACGGGTTATGACATATGTTCACTGTTTAAAAATGGTCGTCCAATTAAGAGGGGTTAATCCCTGCGATACAAGCTTTAGTTTTCATTTCTACGAGTTTCTATCAATGCTCGACAGTTTATAGGATACAAATTTTCAAATTCTAAGAGTTGTAAAGTTTAGCGTATTTATATTTTGTCTTAAGTACTATTTAAACAAATGGCACTTTTCCATAAATTCTTTGTTGCTTTCCTCCAGTTAACGTATTTGTGCAAGATTGCTTTGTAATAAACACTTGTGTTCAGTTTATAAAAATCTACGACAAACATTCAAGCATATTACTTTTCAGACTTCGTTCACATGCTAACTTTCATTTGACTTATTTTAGACGATGGTTCCCCCTAGCAATATCAGCTTTTTGAGGGTGGTTGATGTCTACAGCGAAAGAATAGATGTCAAAAAAGCTAGGAGCTTTCAGAGAGAAAATAACAGACCATCCCAAAAAGTGCCATAATACTCTCTAATGTGCAGGATTAATGAAATGGTGGAATTGAAGTTCGCGTAGACAGATACACCTGAACACAGTTTACTATGGAATAAAAGAAATTTTTAGCTTAAATTTGAGAAGGCTCACAGGAACTAAGAAAAACCTTTACTGGCGTTCACGTGCAAATGTACGTATTAGAGAGTTTAAACTTCACGTATACGACAAACGGAAAACATCAGATTTATGTTGAGAATTTCTCAAAATAGAAAATGAACAGATAAAAACAGCTTAAAACAATTCTTATAAAAAAATTGCGTGAAGCTACTAATTTATGCGAAGAAATAGTGAGCAGTAAACGACAAGTAAAGGGGAAACTTGGTCACGTGGTACAAATTCGCGTTTGCCGTTTGACATAAACGTGATGCTTAATCTCTCTATTATACAAATAAGGGACCTTATAGAGTTGACTACGAGTTTGACATTAGGTAATAGGATAGTCAGTACGGGTTTTCAAACTCAACTCGCGTGCTTTAGATAAACCTTTGCTCGCAATACGCTTACATTTCCTCATGTGCTAAGAAAGAGTAAGCGATCTTGGGATAAAACAAGTGCAAAATACCCAAATCGTTTGGTTTTCGTTCTTAATCTCAAGCTCGTACTGAAATCGTGTGATACTCGTACTCAATCCCGAGATCGTACCCAAATCGTGTCATACTCGTATCAATCCCGAGCTCGTACCCAAATCGTGTGATACTGGTATCAATCCCGAGCTCGTACTCAAATCGTGTGATACTCGTATCAACACCGAGCTCGTACTCAAATCGTGTAATACTCGTATCAATCCCCAGCTCGTACTCAAATCGTACAAAAGGTGATGCACAGCACGCGCAGCTCGTGCTAATAAAAAGCCTCCTGGATACGAAGCTAAACCTGTACACTAAAGAGTATTATAGTATTTTTCGCTAAGGTTTTTTGAACCAGGTCAGTCTAATGCTTAATATACGATTCATATTCTAGTCCTCCAGAGCGAGGAAGGGCAATGATCTGGAGAATGTGCGGCTCTTAAAAAAGGAGGTATTATCAATAAAGCTCTTTGAATTCTAAATTTCCTATCCTATTTACGGCAATCCTACCTAAGCGAGTATACGAGGGATCGCCCTAATGCATTCATTACCATTTCGATAGAAGTTTTGAGTTCTCTCTCTTCGGCGTCTACTCTCCTTATCATCGTTCGCTTATCTGCACTCCACCTCCTGCTGGTCACCTTCGGAGTCCCCCCCCCCCCCCCCTCCCCCCCCACCTTCTGCTCCATTTCGTCCACCCTCCTTTTCCCGGTTCCTTTTTCGCCCCCCCCCCCCCCCTTGGTCCCCTCCGGGGCCCCCCCCCCCCCCTCTTCCCGCCCTACTTTGTGCACTAATTGTTAAGCATTTCATCATCTGATGGTGGCCGCCAGGCTTCCATACCTCAATAGGAGTGCGGATAAAATCGATGCAAATAGGATACTATCGATGACTGACCCGCAAGATCCTTTTCTGCTGGTGTTTTGTCACTGCTTGAGTGCAAACACCTCGTAATCTGTGACAAAGAAATCATGATCACCTGTGAGGAACGAGCTCTGTTTTCTTGGTGGGTAATGGTAGGTGGTGCCGAGACGGCTAGTACAAGAAATTGTGTTTGCATTACTTGATATGTATAGGTCACACCCGCTGCCAAACACTGGTCCACAGTTGCTATTAGAATAGATGCCATGCCCTTCCTTCCCAGTGATGAGCGACAGTTTGATTGCACCCAAGGCACTCGGATTCACCAAGCTGAACAAGAAAGCTTGGCAACAGTTTGCATAACCTACAAATGATCAGATAAAACTAACGTTAGTGTTTGCTGGACTCGGCTTGCCATGTCAGTCAACTTTTAAAGTAACGATTTTATACTTATACCTTTTTGCGGGAAAAATGCCACTAAAATGCTTGAATAATGCTTAACACTTTTTCTTCACTAAAATGCTGAAAAAAGTGCGAGCATACCGTATTTTCTCAATTAAACGCCCCCGGTGTTTATTTAGAAATCGGCAGTTTTGACCCGACGCTTTTTGGAGGTCGGGTTTTAATCGGGGTACGGTGTTACTAATGAAATGCAATTTCCTGTCATTTTTTCAGGAAGATTTATTATTTTCCGATCTTCGGAGACCCAGGGGCAGTTTATTAGGGTGGGACGATTTTTTCCTTTCGTCCTGCCCCTGGATCTCCGAGGATGATTACCCGTACGTACATTACCCAAAGATACAGTACAGTTATCAGGTTGTTGTACAGCATCCACCCTAGTTTTGTTTAACACAACAGTAATTTTCCTCTGAACGTTTATTAAAAGACTAAAACAACTGCACTGTACTTGGTACAGTATGTGGTAACAGTGCTGTTCAAGGGATTATATTTCAAGTTGTAACCGTTCCTTATGACCTCGACCGCAATTAAACTTCGGGATCTCGATCAAACGCGGGGAGCCCTCTGTAAACGCCGCGGGCGCTTAATTAAAAATCAGCAGTTTTGACCCGGTGTTTAATCGGGGTCCGGCGTTTAATCGAGAAAAAATGGTAATGTACAAAGGCCTATATGGCGTCAACCTGTTTGCAAGTTTGGGAGTTCTGGGTACGAGGTCGACCGTGTGGCATTGTTCATCAATCTGTAGGCAGCACTCGCATACTCCTCTCAGGAACTGAGAGGAGTACGAGAGTCGAAGTTCTGGCTAGTCCGTAGTAAGGAGAAGTAGGGGTCCGTGACTATGGAATCTGGTCTTCTAGTTTTTCTGTTTTTGATTTTTTCAGAGCATTCGATTGAAAGTTTGTAATACTCTCTCCGTAATGATTAGGACTTTTTTGCACTATCGTTTTGTGCCGCTCGCCTTTTTGAATCAAGTCTTTGGCCACTAATTCTTGACGAATCATGCTGGCGTTGCTAAAACGAGGGTAAGGGTAACACCAAGGGTGGGGGTGAGGGTGACTGTTAAGAAGGTATATTGTCATTAATTCCCTGGAAAGTGTTAGATGTACCGTTTGCTCGTCTCCAAATGTAATATATCTGAAAGATTGTCGGCATATTTTTTGTAACATGAGGGATTGTGGACGTTCTAAGATTGCATGAAAAGGTGGTTTGCTTTTTAATATAACCCTTTTGCGGATCACCTCGCCAACCCAGGGTCCCACATCCCCATATAAACAGTCCCATTATATTAGTGTACAGAGAACGATCGAAGACTATTAATCCATGCCTTTATTCAAGCTTTTCAAGAGTAAAAAATTAATTTGCGGTCACGTTGTTGGAAATACTTAACTGCAACAGAAACGCAAAAGTTAGCCAAACCTTGAAATTAGAATAGCCCTTGACCAGCCTTTCATTTTAAAGAGCACCGTTTTCCAATAATATGCCAGATGATGCTTAATGACACTTAAAAAAGGCAAATGTATGGTCTTCAAACCGTGTCAAGTCCAAGACGTACGAATTGTAAAATTCAAAGAAATATAAAGTATAAAGAAGACAATTTTCGGGGGAGAAATTTTGGATGAAAATCTAAATTGGAATTCCCACAACAATTCTCACCTTTACCCTTACCCTCACCCTTAACCTTACCCTTACCCTTGGTGTTAACTTTACCCTCGTTTTAGCCACGCCGGAATCATGTTGCTATATTAGTTGTTTTCGCAAGACGAGATCAGGGGAGTCATGGGAGATCATCGCAAAATCTTACAGGACAATGATAAATAAAGCATGGAAAGCGTCAAGAGGCTCATTCGGGTATATGTGTAAATGATGATCAACTGGAGTAAAAACTTACATCCTCCATAATTTGCCCACGACTTTTCAGTGAAACCTCCAAATATGTTTGCACCGCTTTTCACAACAGTGATTGTAGGCCCTTTGTTGTCGCACTTAGAATGAAATGCTGACGCAGCAAAGCCATCTCGTGACGCTCGGAACAGCAAACGCCATTCGCCCACCAAGACCTCCGGTAACCAGCCTTTCAAAATTTTCCGATACTCTACATTCGTCAAAATGGTCGACTCTCTGAATGGCTCGTCTGGCGGACATACTTTAACTGTTAATTTAGCAG